ATTACGAAAATATATTTTATGTACATAATTGATGTAGAATTCAAACGAAACAAAATCAAATTACGAATAAATATTGCTTCTTTATTTGAAAGTGGATCGTAGACCAGCCAATTACAAATTAGCCCTCGGAAATACATGTTTTAATATATCAATATTTAACTTACTTGCATTTTCTCCTAGGTTTCCTGTTCACTTATGTGTTGTGCTATTTACATATATTCCACTAGTTCCAGCTGCCCCGGGTTCGCATAGGTGAATTACAATATTTTTAAATTTCTCGGTTTATGCTATACTAATAACACACATGTATTATACATATAAACTATCCTCTTGAATCACTCTATCTATTGCTGATAACTGCATTAAAATCCTTTGCCTAAAAATATAAGAAAACAAAAAGCACTTTTTTTAGGTAATGACAGACAATCCTTTGGTCATTATAGACATTTAACTAACTATGTTATAACAAACTTCTTATTATGATTTTTCTCAGATTAGAAGGATAATGTTATATTTGTAAGGTAAATATTCCATTGACTATTTCACTTTTAAGTTTTAGTAGGTACGTAATATTAACTTGTCTGTGGTTTTAGGTTGCCAACCAAGACAGTTTTTAGGTAAAGGATATCTTCTCGTTATAGTCAGTCAGTCATTTGAAATATACGGATGAATTACACGTTCCTCTCTTATGAAGTTCGTCGAAATACACGATATTATACTTTAACATTGCTATTTCACGGCAAACGACCACATATAACACTGCATCAATACTATCTCTCACGGCCCTACTCAGAACCCTTAAAAGCAATTAAAAGGCATAATAATTAAAGACCAGAACCATGTAATTCAATAGAATGTATGTATTCATATAGGCTTGGGCACAAAAATATATACCAATAAAAATAACTGATTGCCCACAATAGGGACTCTGCTTAATTTGGGATTAGATAGACTTTTACATAAAAGGCTATCTAATCCCAAATTAAGCAGAGTGATGATGATGATGACATCATCATCATCATTGCCGGCATTATTGCCTTATCCCATTACATACTTAGGGTTTCGTACAGTCTATTTCGGAAATCTCTTCTAATTATAGAAAATAGTAAACATTTTAGTAGCAATTTCACAGATTCAGCAGAATTGGAGACAAAAAATTATCCAGGTCAATATAGACTATGCGAACCGTATTAACTGTCCATTCTCCCTCAGTTTAGTTCGAACCAATGAACTTCAACTTAGAAAGGCCAATTGTTTCCAACTTTACGTACAATACTTATTCAAAGTTTTAAACGACTAATAACTGTGTTGCGTGTACTCTAAGATTTTAATGAATTTACAAAGTTATAATTTGTATGACTTTCTGAAACTACATGACCATTGTTTCGAATTTATGCATACAGCTTTTCAGTAAATACTTAGCTATTATGTTTTGAAATACACATACTGAATATACCCGTACAACCGTTCACCTAACCGCAGTGCACAATATATGAACAAAGTATAATTAGTTTCGTAATAGTTATTGGTCAATGCTTAGACAAAGTAATTTAACATCAAACAATTGAATTTCAAGTATTCTTTATATAGAAATTATTTGAAATGAGCGTAGCTAAATATGTGAAGTAACAAAGAAAAACTATTTTGGCATAGTAATAATGCGAAAGGTCCCTACTATACAAATATATAATACATTTGATTCATAGTTATTCAATACTTTATAGTTAGAAGCCTTTCTTCTAAAAAAATTTCCATGAGAACAGTGCATAAAATGTTGGCTCGTGTTAAGATCAATATCTATATGTTTCATGAGTAATGAAGTTTCAGTAGAACTGTTACTGGCATGTAAAGAAATATTCATATGTTTAAAATAACCTACATGGATATGTGTGAGTAATCAATCAATTTGACAGTAGCTATAACTCAATCTGATGTGGATTGAGTTATATTTTATTTCAAACATTTATTTCCACGGTATGACATGCAAATGGGACTCTTAACGACCATTTAATTTAGATTGGTAATAAAATTTCGGTACCTTTTTTTACGTACTTAATGAAATGACTGACGACATATCTGATGGTAAGTGGTAGCTATCGCCTATATGCATGAAGAGCACCACTAACATCATATTAATATGTAATGCCTCGTATATGGTATAAATATTACCCACATCTTAACGGTAGTCTAATACTACAGCATATTTAAAATTTTCCTGTATCTCCGAAAGATTTTAAAAAGAAAGTTACGTCAATTCAAACAAAAATGGACAAAAAATATCTGCTTTGGTAGTAACTAAAACATACATACAATAAAATAAACAAGTATGGAAAGTAATATCTAAATTTCTCTTTGTAAGTTTGGTTACAAAATTTGCAACCTATTTCTAAATGCAACCTGTCTACCAGTTGTATGGTAAAATATAATTTTTCTTTTTAAAATAGTAAAATTGCAATGCTTTAATATTTTGTCACCTTTTTAAGCTTATTTTCGACTTCCACAAATATTTAAAATTATAATTACCGGCCAAAGTGGTCAACCCGTTCTCGAGTTTTACCGAGAATAATATCGTGAAATGATGAAATGACGTCATTTAATTTATATTATATGTATAAGTCTAGATTCACTGCATTACCGTACCGTACCTTTACAATTTTCCCGTATCTACCGAGTGACTGTGACAGATGTCTCTTACACGCAAATCATGCTCAACATCTTGTGAACTTTAAAAAATGCGCATAAAATTCTTTTGAATACTTCCAGGTATATTAAATATTCTTTATAAGACTTGATTTAATTGTTGTATTATTTATAATTATATAATAATCATCTAGAATAATTCAGCAATGAAATTACAAATTTGTAAGAAATAGTTTATATGTAACCTAACATTTTAATACGATAAGATATGATGTCTTGTAACGGACAAATTCCAAAGGAATTTAATTTTGTGTCAGAGAAGTTGAAAAGTAATCATCTGGCCTAGGAATGAAGACAATATTTAAAAAAAATGTATTAGGTACATATGAATGTGGATGGTTATAAGGGCAGAGAAAGGCCGAAAACGTGATGGATGGACTGTGTGAAAGATGATACGGCAAGAAACGGAGTAAATAATGAGATCACTACGAAAAGGGATGAATGGAAGAGAAAAACATATTAGGCCGACCCCAAATGAGTAGCATTAGGAAGAAGTATATGATGAAATTCAAAAGGTATTTAAGCGATTTTAATAGAAATTCAGGTTCATTATATCTACATAGGTATATTAATAAATCACAGCACGCAAGCATCAAATAATAGACACACCAACCACCATCGTCATCGCATATTAATAGCAATATAAAGAAAGAATATTTACATATACATTAAAGCACCTACACGATTTAATTTGTTTCATAAATCCCATCTGCTACTCCCACCATTTCTACTGAAATTCAGCGTTTGGACATAGAGCCTATACATAAAGTTGATTGGTAACCAGTTTGGTCACAGCTGTATTTTTATTAATTAATCTATTACAATAATATTATAAAGAAGAAAGATTTTACTGTTTGTTTGTTTGCATTGAATAGACCTGCATACCTACATCATCCCTGATGAACATAGGCGATAGAATATTTTCAAATACGAACGATTAATTAATATTTAACCTCTGGAAAAATGCAACTAACTGATGTTTTAGTCCGTCTACTGAATTACAATAATATATTGGATACTATTAGTAAATTCACAATAATTTTATAATAATAATAACAATTGTTCAGGAAAATAATAATAAATTTACTCCTTACTGCTACACATGCAGCCGGTCAATGAACTCCCGATAACTAGCATGTCGCCAAAGTTAATAAAACCCTACCCAGTTTGTCTCGAGCAGCCAACCGTATGTTATTTCAGTTTGAAAGTAGGAAACTTCGAACTCTGACACGAAAGTCATAATTAACAGTAGATAAATAAGGGTAGTATCACAGAGTAATTAACATCATGTTTTATAATAGTTTGCATCGCCATTAAACAACCTGATTTAGTTCTAAAATTAAACCTCACACAAAAACAGTTTTTATTGAGGCGAGCTTGCAATAAAACCTTCAAATAAAATCCTTCTTTTACATCCTCTGTTGTCTAGTATATTTAACAAACTACTACTTTCGATGGTCGCAGGTTTGATTCCTTGCACGGTACATCACTTGTATTGATGACTATGATTTAGTATTAGTCTGGGTGTATTATGCATAATATTACAAAACAAATTCTACGTATTTATATAAGATGTATAGTACCCCTAACACAGTATAGGGACGATGTATAAATTGTCCTAAGATAATTATTATTATTATGTTAGCTGTGTTATTATTAAGATTACACTTGGAACAAAATAATTCAATTATGTTAATTATTTTATTCACTGTATAATTATTACACTAGTATAATACGTGGTGTACGTAATAAATGTTTAATTTCGGACCAGATGAATTTTAAAAGTTCTACTTTACCTTTACTGTTTACCTAGACGGGAATTTGGAATTAATTTACTTAAAAACTTATGCCTTTCTGCCTTCAAAAGTCTTTCATCAAACTATATTAATATTAAACGTTTAATATTCATTTTCATTTACTTAAACCTGATCTTTGTACTGTTAATTTACATAACATTAAAATAACTTTGAGTTTAGTCTCCCATATCAATAAATATGAAAAGGATGAGTAAAATATTTTAATTGATTAAATATTTGTTTAGAATTGTACTCCCATCATTATTTCTTATTATGATTTCTATTTGAGTTAGACATTCATTTTAGAAAACAGCTAAATATATAATATATTGCGTGAACTTCAAAGTGTTAGTGGTCAAAATAAAATTCGTTTTCTGTTGGTGTCAAGAATTGCCGCAGATTGTACTTCCTCACGGAACGTTACAACCATTCGCCGTGCGAGGAAGGGACCCAGTTTTCCTGTGACTTGCTACGGTAAATTTTAACTTCGTTATTTTTCTTCAGGACACCCATTACGACTGGAACGAAACCGACATCCTATCCCACGGTGTTAGCGGTCTTAGTTTGCATCGCACAGATAGCCTCAACCAGCGACCCTTAGCAGCCCTAAAACGAACCAGCAGTAAAGGGAGTGCGTACAGTCTTCGGAGTGCAAGAAAAGAACTTGCCAAACCTACACAAATTGAAAGACCCACAACAATACCTGATGCGGGATTTGGCACTTTGGAAATTAAATTAGCATACGATAATGGTACATCTTCACTAGCTGTAACTGTGTTGCGAGCTAGAGGATTGATCGGCATGGACATGACAGGTCTCTCAGATCCGTTCTGTAGATTAGAAGTCTTGCCTAGAGGTAAGGATCAATAGTAAAATGACCTCGATATTAATATAATGTACTTCTTCTATCTTGATACGGGCTTCAACAAAGCCTTTATAACATTCGAAAATTGAATGCATATCTCTTAGGTTCTCTTAATTAATAATTATAATAGGTACAAAATCTAGGTATTCCAACAAAAAAAATTTTTTGACAAATATAATTTTACTTACCTTATATTACTGATTAATCAATGGCTCATGATATAATATTGAATGAGGTAATAATAACAATACCATAAATTACGGTGAAAGAAAGGTACGTATTTTTACTTTGGAGTAGTCGATAAAATTTAGGAAATGTCATCATCCGACTTGTGTCTTAAAGCAGACAAGATAGTTATTTAAAATCATAAACCTGTTTCATTCTATTACGTTTCAGAAGGCATCTACTCCAACAGATTACGAACGAAGACCGTACACAAGACCAAAAATCCAGAGTACAATGAAACGCTACATTTCTTCGGCATCACTGAATCTGATCTCTCAACAAAATCACTAGAAATCGTATTGTTTGATGACGATAGGTACGTACAATAGAAATATTATACTTTTACGTTTCATCATCTCACCAACTCAGTAAATACATGTAAAACTACAATCATTAGTAATCTTCATGCAAACATTTTGTCGAAGGGAAAGACTTTTTCATCTCTCTCCAAAATATAAAAACGTCTTGAAATTATATTTACCAAAGTAGACTTTAGAGAAAATTTTCTGTGTGGATACCTCTGTTTCGTCCATTTCTCTCCCAAATACATTGTGTTCTGGTTTCAAGGAAAATTGCAAGCATCCGTAGCTTGCAATTTTCCTACAATACCATTATTTGCAAGGGTTAAGTAAACGTACGTAGCGGGCGTCACATCCTGGTGTCCTCATGACGATGTGACGTTTGATACCTCTTATACAAGGTATATATATACGAGTACCACACAGTTGTGGTACTCGTATATGCGCCATTTTACACCAGACCGGCCGTTAGGTGTTTTATCATTCTCGTTACAAAAAAATACTCCACATTCATTGCCTTTACAGATACGGATGTGATGAGATGGGTTCAGCAACAGTAGCGTTACGAGAATGCGCGAAAAATCCCGCGCAATTACGCCTTGCACTATCGGGGGCGACCGGCACAGAACCTGCAGGTCCCAGAATCTTGCTGGCACTATGTTACAGTACCAAGAAGAGGGCGTTGGTTGTCACTTTGTGTAGAGCTGCGGATTTACCTCCTCAAGACAGTAATGGCTTTTCAGATCCATTTGTTAAATTGTAAGTATATTTATCTTATTAATTATGTAATGCTGTTACAAAAATTATCAATTGTAACAGATTTAATTCATTGATTTGAGAGATGCAGTTGTATGGTTCGCATTTATGTATAACTATGAATTATATCATTATATTTGTAACATTTTAATATATTAATCATATAATATATGACTTACATATTCGCATTTATAATGCTTTAATCTCTTTCCTATGCGAATTATTAGTAACAGCGTATATCTATAGTTCGGTAAATAGTAACAATCGAGAAATGACACTAACTCGATTGCAATTTAAAATTAAATATGGCGACGGTTAGAAGGTATACTTTAAATAAATTAAAAGGTAAATCTTACTTAATCTTAATATTTCAGACATTTAGATCCTGATCCGTACCACAAAAAGCATAAAACATCAATCAAATGGCGTAACCTGAATCCAGTGTGGAACGAAGAGTTTCTCTTTGAAACACGTCCAACTGAGCTTTCCCGCCAAAATCTAACACTGACAGTTTGGGACAAAGATTACGGGAAACCCAATGACTTCCTCGGCAGTCTGATTTTGGGCTTTAGCAGTAAGGGCAGAAGACTGAAGCACTGGATGGACTGCATAAAATTCCCGGATCATCGTCATGAACAGTGGCATTCCTTGACGGATACACAACATTTATAAGAACTAGGCTTGTGTAGTTCGCGAACGGACTAGTTCGGAAGAGCGCGTTCCCAAAACATAGTTCGTTTGATAAAACACAGACTTGCTAAAAAACAAGAAAACATATTTGTAGAAAATAATACATACAGATAGGTTGACTAGCTGATCGAGTCGGAAGCAGACGAACTATAATAACGAACTAGTTATCAAAAGAGCTACGAACTATATTGAGAGATCGCGAATTAATTAACAATGTGCAAAATTAATTAACACGTTAATGATATCATAGACTATTTACTGGTCAGTTCCCATCAATAAGCACATGATATCCAAACAAAAATATTTCGCCGAGTTTAACATAATAATAAACTTTTTTATGCATACGTACATTACTTTCATTTTTACTATTTATTTATTGTAGGATAATGACAAACTGTCTGCTAAATTTAAAAAAATGTATACTGAGAAGTGTGGTACTTTTAAAAAATTAGTATCTGCTCGATAATCAGAAATTGTATACGTATTCCTAGAATATATTCTTATATACCTTAAATGAAATTTATTTTTTTATATTGAAATAACATAAATAAATTTTGAATAAAGTCTTAAAATGTTGAAACAAAGTAATGAATTCGGTAGGTGTTTTTTTATATACAAAAATTTAGTAAAAATATAAATAAACTTTGATCTTTGCCTCAATTACGCATAAGCCAAACGTAACATTAATTTAGTTTCGTATTAAAATTACTTTTTATGTTAATTCGTATTAAACCTGAAGTTGCAGCTAGTCACGCTAATATTATAAATGTGCGGATTATTTATAATGTATATGTATATATACATATTATTATTATTTTATGTGTACGTCTCTAATACACAAAAAGTATACCTATGGGAATGAGAGCTTCGTAACTGAATGGTGCTAGTGTTAGGATATTCAAATATCTAATGTATTGTTGGTATTGTATATTGTTTTAAACATGTACAATCGTCAATCGAAGAATATAAATTTACACAGACATTTGAAAAAAAATTCTTAACCTATTCTGGTAGTCAGTTTACTCCCGGCCCAGTTTCAACTTCGTAGTTAGTACCTACTTTGTCCTAGTTTTTTTTTAAATATTTGAATTTATTATTTTCGACTGTTAGGTAATGTGACAAGGGCCAAAGTCTATGCTATTTTATTTTCCATACCTGTGTGGTACAATATATTTAAGTTAAATCATTCATTAGCCCATAACACTAGTGTTTTAGATAATTACTTAATATATTAATTAAATTCAAAATAATAATATTTACTTACTATTAATAAAAATTGTATATTTATAGTAAATGCCAAATAAATTCTATTGTTATTTATAATAGATAAAATTAGAAATTAAGTATGTATGTAGGTATACAAGCCTCTATATAATTATAAATTTAAATTAATAAGTAGATATGTTGATGTTGTTATATTTAAAAAAATGTGGAGTATCTGTGGAAGATTATCTTCTCAGGGTACTCCGCCGTACTCTGTATGAAAGTATTATAGTCACTAAAAGTGTTTAAATTATTTTTATAAATAATTTAAAATGTGTTTCAAATTGTGCCAAATTTTAAAATTTTGATATTGTAATAACCCTGTTGCAAAATAATGAATTGACTGCCTTTGTCATAGTAGTTTCCTAAACACATTATGAGTAAATATTTTTAAAATAATATTTGTTTTTTATTTTTTCTAACTGTAAGTAAGTTTTTTTATATTAAACAACGAAATTTTACGAGACGCAATTTTATATCAGTAGGTAATCAGCATTCAAATCAGTTAAGCTGCTCCGAAGATTGATACATACGGACGCATGACCTAAATAACTAAAATATAATTTTAGATCTCCTTAACATAAATAAAACATGTATAATTTTTTTTATGTATTATAAATTGTAAAATTTTCATTCAATTTTGTGATTTAACGATATTGAAATATGTATTATATTGTAGTGTGTGTGGCACTAAACAAAAAATGAGTCGTTTACGGGCTAACGCTCCGTTGAAGGAAACACCGATAACAACATTAAAAATTAATCCGAGGATGGTAGGTTGGCCCCTATATACCCAACGTAATGCGAACCGTCCACCATGACGTCGATAATTTCCAATGCTTCTGACTACTCCATCGGGGATGAAAGTCGTCATGTATGTTTTCTCCTTAGCATTATTATTTTACAATCGATATACCTAGTTTATATATACCTACTTACCTAGAATATCTTATTTTCGAACTATTCTAACCCTATTGGTCGAAGTTGCTCTTTATAGTTTCATTTGACTAAAATTGGCACAACTGCAAAGGGCTCTAAACGGGTATACAATTTCATGTTCATCCATCAAAAATTACATTTAGTGTAATACCTGTATCGGTGTTTAATTTAGAGAAATAAACGGATATTAAATAGAAAATAAGGCTGTGTGTGAATATAACATTTAACGATTGGAAGTTTTATGATGGAGGTAGCTTAGTGATTATTTGCTAAATACTGATGACTCACTGACGTTTATAAAACTTGTTGTTGGATTTTGACAGCTTTGGAATTATGTGAAAACTGTGCGTGAACGTGAATACTCAAGCAAAACTTTGGTGGGCAAACTAAAAATATTTACTACTGCGTTAATATTAATTCCATGAGAGTAATGTGATAATATAAATTGTATTAACCATGGCATTCTTATGTCCAGTGCGAATTAGAAGGGGGAAGAAAAAGAAATGTAAGTAAAATTTCTAGAACTCAAGTCATTGACCTCAAACTTTCAACATAATTAAGCATAAATAAATTTAATAATTTATTATGGAGAAATATTATTGACACCTATATTACAGATTTCGTATTATTTCATCTTAATGTATATTTACCAAATTTTTATTTACGAAATCTTAACTTTGAGACCACACGTATGTATTCAATAAAACACACATTCCAATACTAATTCCAGCGAATAGTGGAGACTCAGATAAGGATCCGTCGAGACCAAATTCAGGGCTGAGCCCTGGAATGGGCAGAATCACCGGATCTGCCAGTATTGAAACTTTAGTTCGTGTGGGAATTGAAAAGGAACATGGCTTAAGTCCAGATTCTAAAATGGTGGTGTTACATGACTTTGCGCCTTGTGTGGATGATGAACTTGAGGTATGTAACAGCATATGCATATTTCATAGAAACAATTTTTTGAAACATCACTTTTAACATTTTATTGTCAAGCTGTTGCCCCACCTTAAACTTGAACAGTACCAAACACATATCATCATGTGTTGCCTGTGGAACCTCTCATGCATTGCTATTACTCCATACTAAGATGCTTTTGAACCCTGTAATTTTACTGCCACACTTCACCCTTCAATAGTACCAAACAAGATTTTATGTTTATTATATAGCCTCTTTTACAGTATATGTTACATTCTCTGTGCCCACATTTTAAGTACATGGAGTTTATTATAGCCTATGTGTTATTCTGATGTATAAGCTATATTACTGTACAGTTTCATTAAAATCTGTTTAGTACTTTTTGTATGAAAGAGTGACAAACATCCATGCTAATCACAAAATTTCACCTTTGTAAAAAATCAAATAATTTATTTGCAGAATATGTGTGTAGTGTTTATACCTTAACTACAATACAATGTTAATCTTATGTATTATTTAAATTACATTATTTTTTATATTTCAGGTAAAACGGGGACAAATTGTTAATGTATTATACAGGGAGAATGATTGGGTATATGTAATAGTGGCTGAATCAAGAAGAGAGGGTTTCATTCCACATTCATATTGTGCCCCATGTGAACACCATGATTTGAAGAAAAAGTTGCCAAGAAGTCGATCCCCTACGGACTTAGCACACAGAGATGTATCCCAGTAAGTAAACCTAAATGACAAAATGTAGGTAGTAGTAGTAAGTTTGGCTATTATAGTACTATTAAATACATAAATATGTGGGGAAAAAGAAGCCCACTTTTACAGCAGAAAGTAAAATTATTTTCATTCTCACTATATCATTCCAAAAATAGCAATTAAATAATTTAATATTACTTTTTTTACAATACATTTACAATTAAGACTGATTATTCGAGTAATTTTGTTATAAACAATAACAGAAGGAAGAGGAAGAATAGAAGAGAAACAAGTTAGAATAAAACAGTATATATCTATGACCTTTTTACTTAAGATTATTTTGCTTGTACCATTTATTTTAAAAAATGTATATCAAAATGTTACAAATATATTTTAAGATTAGTTATTTCCCATAGGTTATCAGTATCAGATGGGGCAACAAATGATGGACACTCAGAACTCGGAAGTGAAGGTGAAGCATGTCCATTTAGCAAGGATCCTTCTGGCCGCTATGTAGTATTGTACACATTCACAGCAAGAGATGAGAATGATGTAGATGTGGAGAGAGGAGAATTTGTTACGGGTATGTTTTATTTTAAGGAACAATTATTAGACATTTCAAATTAAAATAAAACTTTCCATAAACCCAGAGAGAACTTTTGCATTACCACCCTTGAGGGGTGCTAGTGCTAAACTGTTAAATTATATTATCCACCAAATAGATGTAAAAGCTTGGATACCCTATGTGATGCTTAGCATCATTTTACAAGGTATCATCTGATAGGAAATTGGTTATAAGAGTTAGTTGCCGACTCACTGACTCAAATTAAAAAAAATTAAAATATCTTTATTCATGTAGGTCTATTACAGACTCTTATGATATGTCAAATCTACCGTCAGTTTGGTATAATTTTGAGATGAGAAGAACTGACAAGAAACTAGAAGAAGCTTGTATATTCTTGTATTCTTTCCAAATTAATGTCATACATGTTTACAATAATACAGATTCATTATAAATTCAAATTTGGAAGAATAGAGTGACCACCAGCATATGCTATTGCAACTGTTACCTAAAAATGTTTAAACACATATTTTTAAATACTTTTCCTTACTTTTTTTTTTAGTTCTCAACAGAGAAGATCCAGACTGGTACTGGATAGTGAGGAGTGATGGTCAAGAAGGATTTATACCATCCGGCTTTGTTTATCCTGCAGTAGTCCAAAGTTAGTAGTTTCAGTAATACAGTAGTTCTTTCAAGTAAATTATATCTTGTGATATAAAACACTTGAGCTGTTAGAAGATTGTAAAGTTAGGTGTGTTCATCACATGTACCTTCGCCTACCAACCCTGTTAAGAACAGTAAAAAACAGATAAAATATGTTACATTCAGAAAAGAGTTATATACCTATTTATAAAACATATTTCTTTTATACAATTTTTATTTTCTTTATTCCAAATGGGCTTGGTCCCTGTGCTCGTAACTATGTGGGCTTTGTATAAATAGCATAATATATGTCTAGATCACTAGAATTATTTACTTATAAAAAAATATAGAAAGTAAGATGTTCTTAAAAATCTGTGTAGTGGTTCCGAAGTTTACTTTCCTCACTACTAAATCTCTTTATAATATTAGCATAAAAATTTGGTAATAATATGCACTATCAATATTTTAATACTAAAAATATGCAAATAAACTACCAGAAAAGGTAATATTGAATTCTCTACTATCAACAATCCTATTACAGCTGCTCAACAAGATAATTCGCAACAAATTAATTCTCCGCCGGTATCGAACCCGAACACTACTATAATGACAAACAATACCAGCCTGAATACAACAACTACGCAACAGGACACTGACGGGCGATATCATGGAACTGAACTAGTCATGCTTTATGATTACAAGGTATATTTCCATTTTTTAATTTTAATTCACTTAAAAATAACTTTTGCTGCTTAATAATTTATAACCTCAAATAATAGATATATATATAATGACAACAACCAGACAATCATACTCTTGAATATAAATTTTGTACAGTGCGATTTATCGAACCCGCGACGTTCGGAAGTAAGGCGGTACGGTGTGCTAAACCTCTAGACCACCGAGGCTTTGTATCCCCGAATATTTACAAGTACTACTTTTATAAAAACTATATATAATTATAAATGTATTGCAGGCACAAGCCCCAGATGATCTGTCAGTAAAAAGAGGCGAGTGGGTATATGCAGACTTAACCCAGCAAACAGTGGAGGGCTGGTTGTGGGCCCACGCCCCCAAATCACGCCGCTCCGGCTTCATACCAACCGCATATGCGCGTGCGCCGCATACAACGTCACTCTGACATCCAATTGTATATCGAAAAACATGAACACGCAAATTAACTTGGTGAAATTTTTAGTACAACAAGAATTATTATTAGCTTATTCTCAGGGGTTCTTCGATTCGGGAAAGCGCATTACAATAGTTCACCACATAAGCATTTATGTGGTGGACTATTGTGACATTTAGGAGTACGTAGTACAAGACTCTACATGTCATGTTTGGCCCTTTAGAGTTTTTGAGTTGAGATCTAATTTTCTTCTTTACTATTTTTTATTTAGTAATTCATTACTAAATAAAAAATAGTAAAGAACAAAATTAGATCTCAAAAGGATACAAGGAAAATGTACACAATGAATTATGATAAGTATCGCGTATACTATAAAGCAACGCGTAGTGTTTTACAATAGGTGACTATGCTGATTTCTTATTTTGATTTTCATTATAAGGTAATGAATAAATTTGTTTTGCCATTAAGTATGTATATTGTATTCTTGTTTTCCTAAAAGTTAGAATCTCTAATGCTTTACTTAGCCCTTAAAATTATGGTCAATTTTTATTATGTATAATATATTAAACAAAATTGTCTTCCTTAATACACACTAAGTTTCTTATAATTGATTTTTATATTTAGGATATACAATAAGTATTATAAAAACAGCATTTATGTAAATGATCCGTCCAAATTCGACTGATTTTGACATTACGCTTTTTATAAGAATGACAATGTCTAATTAAATATTTTAAGATTATTAATGTAATTCTTGAAAATAAATGTTATACAAGTAATCTGTGTTTCTGTAAAATGGCGAAATAAAATTACAAATGGCAACCAAGACTATCTATACTGTTTTAAACTTGACGCGGTCATTATTTATACGTATAATTAGTAAAAATCACGGGATCTTACCACGTTTTATATTTATTTGCTGAGTTCCCGATATTTCGACAGTGTTTTAACTACCATGATCACGGGTAAATTGAAGAGGAGCGGGTAGAGTGAAAATGAAATCTTTTTATGGGCAGACATATGCGTCTACCTTCACACGTCTTCGTTTGTTGCTACTACGGGAACTCGCTCGATATTCATCTCGGCAAACTGTACTCACAGTATCTTGACGTACATTTAATACACTTTAGTACAAGACAATCTACTTTTTAAGGTTGTAAACAAAACTAAATTGTTCAGGCCACAACAGAAAATATAATTACAAACAATTTTTCTACAACTTAGATATATTTCCTATTAGTCACATTATACATAAAACCAAAGTTAATCTAAAATAACTTGCTTTTTTCTTTTCATAGACTGTTGCTTGATTTGATCTTTTATTGTCCATTCTTCTAATTGTTGTTCCACCTTTTTAATGTCTTGGTCCGAAACAGTGACTGCAAGTTGCAATTCTGTCTGTTCACTCTTTATGAACTTCAAAGCTTCAAGCTTTGAGCTTAGAAATGGACCCTGCTGACTTTCTAATAGATTCCTATAATCTGTCAATTTCTTATTACGAATATCCTCACAGTGCATTTCTGTAAGTTTTCTTAGTGATTCTTTTCTTGACAATTTATGAAAAGTACTGTAAAAAAATTAAAGTCTTACAAAATTTGCACATCATAGTTGGTAAAATGTAAAATATTTTTTTAAAGTAACTAACAGGCACATTTATTTATTTATTTATAAATGTTAGTTATATTGTATAATGTATAGTACTTGTATAGGTATAACATAATTAACATGAATTTTTGTGCATATAACTCCATAACAATGATGATTTGCCTGGAGATCTGTTGACTTTCAAGTATTATCCATATCATAGACAGTTGCAACTGCCTCTATCCTTAAATACATCTCTAGTTTTGTCTACTGCTATTCTTTATAATATTAATATGCTACATGGATAATTTATTTATATTTTTTAAGCATTTTAAATTATTAAGGAATGTTATATGTGTTATTTTTAATATATACATACTCTGGATGACCCTTGTATTCAATATTCAGTTTTTCTAACAGCCATTCAAATTTTTTATAATCATATTGTCGTAGATATTTGAGCATCTTTTTCCTCTTATCAATCAGTTCTTGGACTGTTTGCTGAAATGTCAGAAAAATGTTTTATTATTTGTTAGTGGTCTATATATATACATATAATAGTGATTTGAAAGTAAATAACTAGATAAAAAATGTGACAAAAATCATTAAGTAAAAGGAAAGGAAAAACATTATATCTTTAAAAACAATTTGAATACAATAATAGTTATAACAATTTAATTTGATTGAGATTATTTAACATAACTATTTCTTTCATTCTTAACTGTAGAATTAAGCCTTAAGGCTTAATTCTACAGTTAAGAACTTACTGTAGAATTAAGCCTTAAGGCTTAATTCTACAGTTAAGAATGAAGTAATAAATAGTTACTACATATATGTATATAATATATACAACAATTATATTCTTAGTCATGGAAGCAATATAATTTTAGATGGAGTAGTCAAAGGAATTGTTTATATCACATATCTGGATGAACATGGCATTATATGCCCTCACACTGAGTATATTGAAATATACTTTTATATTTATACATATATACCTTTGCCTTGACATTTTTGGGATACTTTTCCATGGTTTCTTGTAGACATCTTATATGTCCAGTGAGTCTTGCAACTGGAATGATTAAATTAAAGAATTAAGTTATGTTTACTGTGATATGCAGATTGTTATACAGTAAATTAGTTTTTTTGCTACAATAATATCCTTGATTAATTTTCGTATTACCAACAAAGGTCATGTATTACATTAGAAATATATACCTTACAGAAAATAATGCTTTACTTTACTATAGTAACTATAATCATATAAAAATATGATGTATGGATTAAAAGTAAACCTAGAAAGTAACATAAAAACGGTGATCGCCTAACTTATAGGCATGGAAATGAATTTATAAAACAAACATCTAATATATTTGCTTTTAAACAAGCACACAATGTTCCATACAACATGCATGAACCATTTATATAATAAGGCAATAAATAATATTTCCTTATGAAGAATAGTATGGTTATGTTATTTTCTTCTAAATACTATTAATGTATTAAGTAAATCCACTTTCCATGTTGCAGAATTTAGGGACCATACATATTTTATATGATATGTCACATAATTATGATTAAGGGGGCTTGAAGTATGACAAAACAGGTATTATGTGATATGAGGGTGAGATGGTTCTACATTTCAATATGTCCCATTTAAAAATCAAATATATCTAAGTATTAAAATGTATGTGAATTGGATAAGTCACAAAAACTCCATTTATGGATGGCCCCATATGAGTTTTGATTAAATTAAAGAGTTTAATAAAGACTTTAATTCTAATTATCTTACTTCTAGTCTCAGCAGTGTTCTCATCATAGTTATGTCGTCGTACTCTATCAATCAAATCCTTTGTCACTAGAGCATTGTATTCTTTTTGGCCTAGATGAGCAACAGAAAATATTTTTTTCACAGATTCTGGTGCACTGTGAACAAATTAATTAAAAATAAATTAATATACATAATATGTTGTTAAATTAATATACAGAATAATTATAATACATGTAGTATTATAATTATTCTGTATTTATGTTTGTCTTATATCCTTTAGACACTGTTTATGGCAATGTTTTAGATGAAATTTTGTGTGTATTTCAATGGGATCTGGGATGGTTTAAGAACACAATGAAACATGGTAGGTTAAGGCACCAGTGTAAGACAATATGAGTGTATATAGTCAGTCAGGTACTATTGTGAATTGACAGGAAAATAACAATGGTAGAACCCATTTGTATAAGTATGTAGTGTAGACATTTTTGTGATAGAACCAATTAATAGTATTTTTTGGAAATAGAAAATTAATTCTAATTCTCTCAATTTAACCTATTTCAAATAATCTATTATGTCTGAATTACAAATATTGGACTTAAATTATGCATTTATCTAAATACTTACTCTTTTATTTCATCGCTTAGCGCGTAGTCCTTTCCTAGAGCACCCTGCGGAATGTTGGCTATATTCTCTAAGTCACCAGATTTTTCAGGTTTGTAAGCCGGCACATAGGCAGGTCGAACCCATTTAATTTTTACTTGGTGTTTTATGCCCCGACTTTGTATAAATGTAGCCGAGAAACGACGTAACATTCTGAATATTCTCACTTAAATTCTATAAAATGTAGTATTATAGTGGCACTCAATGAGGAAGTAGCCATTATTATTGCTAAAAGTTGCATATAGATGGCGTGATTGGTATCGATGGAATTCTTCATAGTTTTGCAAACATTTTAAAAAACAAAACTGTGTTTTCAAAAATGTTTAATCAATTTTTAAAAAGTTATATATACATGTTAAAATGAAATAATGCGTTTAGAAAAGTAATTTTCATATATTTACTCATTTTGTTATTTTCCAGTACTTAATTACACTTTAATCAGTGCTAATATGGGGCTCAATGTTTTCAAAATGCTTTCATAGATGGCATTGTCGTCATTTGTATCGGCCTAATTAAATGTCTGTTTTATATTTTCCAATAATAAGCACTTAATATATTATTATTGTAAATTAAACATATAAAAAATTTTTAAGTAAATTAAAAATAGCCGAACAAGCAAGTAATACTATTTCCAATAATACTTCTGTATGAAGTGTTGTCATATTAAAAATAACTACATGTATTATCGATTTTTTTGAATAATCGATAACAGGATTTTATTACAGCGCATTATTCGATGATGCTTTTAATGAGTCGTTGTGAACAGTAAATTTTCATTATTTTGTATTATAGCAGTGTTCCGTTTCAAAGAACGGAATATAGTAGTACATTATTAGTATCGTTGGTTATTTACATTTGTACTGAAAAATCGATTACATAATAATTTAAAATATCGAGTACGAATCGTAGCTGTCTGCGAATACTGGCAACTGGTAAGATTAAAATAGTATTTAAAAAAAAGAGAGAAATCGACCCTAACTCGAATGCCATAAAGTTGATTTTCCTTTCTCATTAATATCATAGCAGTTTGTTTTTAACTTGCGTATGACTGTGTGGTATGATGTTTAACGTGTATTGTTATTGTACGGTGCATACATTTCAAAAAATATATTTTAATGTAGGTACATACATTTCTTTCATACATTTCATACATGTCAAAAATTATCTTTTAATGTAGGTACACACATTTCTTTCATACATTTCATACATGTCAAAAATTATCTTTTAATGTAGGTACATACATTTCTTTCATACATTTCATACATTTCAAAAATGAACTTTTTATGTAGGTACATACATTTCTTTCATACATCTCATACATTTAAAAAATTATATTTTAATGTAGGTACATACATTTCATACATGTCAAAAATTATCTTCTAATGTAGGTACATACATACATTTCTTTCATACATTTCATACATTTCAAAAATTATATTTTAATGTAGGTACATACTTTTCATACATGTCAAAAATTATCTTTTAATGTAGGTACATACATTTCTTACATACATTTAATACATTTCAAAAATGAACTTTTTATGTAGGTACATACATTTTTTTCATACATCTCATACATTTCAAAAATTATATTTTAATGTAGGTTCATACATTTCATACATGTCAAAAATTATCTTCTAATGTAGGTACATACATTTCTTTCATACATCTCATACATTTCAAAAATTATATTTTAATGTAGGTATATACATTTCATACATGTCAAAAATTATCTTTTAATGTAGGTACATACATTTATTTCATACATTTCATACATTCCAAAAATTTCTTACATTTCAAAAATTATCTTTTAATGTAGGTCCTTACATTTCATACATTTCAAAAATTTCATACAATACATTTCTTTCATACATTTCAAAAATTATCTTTTAATGTAGGTACATACATTTCACACATTTCAAAAATTTCATACAATACGTTTCTTTCATATATTTCAAAAATTATCTTTTAATGTAGGTACATACATTTCACACATTTCAAAAATTTCATACAATACGTTTCTTTCATATATTTCAAAAATTATCTTTTAATGTAGGTACATACATTTCAAAAAGTATCTTTTAATGTAGGTACATAACACCCCATGTCAGACCCCTTGTATTTGGAAGAAACTTAAAAATAATGCCAAAAATATTAGATGAATATATTTTTAATACGAATATTGTTTTATTTTTGTTCATCAACTTTATCCCTCACTAACAATACTAGTAGTAGTACATAACCTGGTTTATACCGCTAAAGATATTGAAAGATATACGAGTAATTCAGAATGTTATCAAGTTCAAAATAAGCACACATTACTTGCTTAGATAACACAGTAATATTACTCGTAATAAAAACATTTGTAACACCCATATGTACCCATATACTACGTATGTATAGTAAGTACTTACGCTGCGGCGCCGTGAGACTCGTCTAGGTACCTCATCTACTCATCTACGCGCGGTAACCGCGCCGACCGACCAATAGGAGCGCGCCTCTCGTGTTTCCAGAAAGTTCGCGACTAACGGACGATATAGTAGTAAGGCAATGAGTGTCCCAGTGACATCATTATAATATTTTCTCGTTAAATTTTATTGTAATATACACAATTTCGCACTAAATAACGTGTTACCCCGTTACACATTTCTAATAATGAAAAACCTAGACCGACCCTGTTCACTTAATCTTACAAGATCTGACTTTAAAAATTACGATATCCTCATATAGCCTTTCATTTCCCCTTTCAATACTTTTTCGCATTAAAAAGTAGCCTTTCTCAGGGTCTACATTATCTGTCTACCAAATTTCAATTAAATCAGTTCAGTAGTTTTGGCGTGAAAGCGAGACAAACAGACAGACTGAGTTACTTTAGCATTTATAATATTTGTAAGAATATCGCTATTAAAAATAGGGGTTGGTGAAAGACGGGTGAAAATTTAGGCGTGTATGTATTTTCAATGTAACATTATAAATAAATAAAAAATTGTCCATAATACAAAAAAATATTTTTTCGTGGTAGGCCACCCATATGACTTAGGGGTATAAAAAATAGATAACAACCCTACCTCAGACCTGGCAAGTATACATATCAAATTTCATCAAAATGTGGGAGAAATATGGCAACTAACACTGTGATACAAAATTTATATATAAGATATAGCGGAATTCTCATTAGGTAAAAGAGGGGTACATCGTAGAATACATGAGGTATATACCAGTAAATTAATTGTAGCTAAAATCAGTCTCATACATATAACGATTAAAATAAAAAATCGTATAGCCCGATTTTGATACGTACGAGTATAAACGTATCAAAATCAGGCTATACGTATAGCGCAGACGCGTTACAACATATCAAAAAAATAGGCATGGAATGTAAAATAAACCATAACATAATAGGTATATACATTGGCACATAAGCCATAGCTCAGAGTGTCGGCTAACGATATTATACCTACACATTTACATTGAATCTTGAATCGTCCCTAATGAGGTACACGATACAGTTACCTACATATCTATTATATACATATCTTTGCAAAACAGATGTCATGTAGACTGAATTGACTGCCATCTATTTTCATGCTTTGTTACTAAGCACCCACTAGTAATCCGAACTGCTTCAGATCTAGCGACATCTAGCGGCTACGGTGGCGAAATAAAATAGCCCGAAGAATAGCCCGAGTTAGGAAGGAACCATTTTCTTGTATGGGATGGGGTATCTGTATGTAATATTATGTTATCTGTGGTATTATGAAGCCAAATTTTGGCACGAGATTTTTGAATTGAAATTATATGTTTGCCGATTTCAAATAAAACTGCTTAAGAAACAAACAAATACATATTTTTTTTTTGTATAATGAAATATTATTAAATTAAATTTTTAATTAAAATAGAAGCGACTAAAAACTCAAAAATTAATACTTCCACAGATCTGAGATCAGTCAGATCACAGAAACTATCAGACTGACATTCTATACTCTGTAAGTCTAACTAGGCTGTACCCCTTGCATAATGCGATACCGAACCTTCAAACGTAATGATTACTTGCTCAATGTTTAGTACTCTATACTATGTGCGCTATAGCATGGTGCGGGTGACAGTTAAATTAACGTTGCGTTTCATTCTTAAAAGTTGCCGCGATTTACAAATTATGATTTAATATTTCAACAGTACCACATTCTTAATATATTAAATCATTAAATTAGTAACTGTCACCCGCACCAAGTTACAACGCACACAGAATAATTAATTATTGTTTGTAGTAATTATAAGGAAGTATAAATTTACTTTGTAAAACTTAGCACATGGCACATTAAAACATGGAATATTTTGATTTCGTAACGTTTTTGGGATGGTATATTTACCGTGAATTATTTGACAATTGCAATTGCGAACTTTAGAAATTGCTTTCTTTCAGTAGAATTGTTTATATTATACATAATCTAAAAATTTGTATCTTTAATTTTAAGCTTCTCTTTATGAAACATATTTATCGTACTGCTTGTTATTACTTAATTTTAAAACTTTCGTGTTGAGTACACCTTAACAATATATTTGTCTGTCGTTTGTTTGTCTGTTTTATATTATTCAGTATATGGATATGTAATGGTACTCCCAATTAGGTTTACAATACACACTAAGCCCTCCTCTTGACAGCGGGGAATGATAGAATGACGTCAGTTAGACCATTGTAGCGAATGTACCAGAAATTTACCATGATATCTGGGGGGGTCTAATCTAATACTAATTGTAATAATTCCATTTGTATCAACCCACACTGGTGTTTAAAGTATTACCAGGAATGATCGAAGAACAAGAAAACTAAACAAATTTAAACATTCATTTATTTATTGCTTTCAGAGTACGAAACCTCAAAACTTACAAAATTTTATAAGCAACACTTTGTACTAAATGTACCACTCGCTGTGACTGTACACACTACATTAAAATACACCATGCAAGTTTATAAATAAATTGAAATAAATAACAATACATAAACAATTAAAATTTAAAACAATCCCTGACTACGTATATTTTTCCGCCACAATTAAATAAATTTAAAACAAATTTCATGATTAAATATTTTTATTACATTCATTTAACTTATAAATTTTATTAAAATGGTGCACGTTCGAAATCCTTGTATGAAATCACCACAATAATTTTAGACACACTTCGAAT